TTAAGGTCTATAAAGCTGAGTCTGAGAACCAATTAGACAGGAAGATCAAGATCCTAAGATCTGATCGTGGGGGGGAGTATACCTCAAATTATATGACTGAATTTTGCCAAGAACACGGTATTATTCATGAGGTTACTGCTCCCTATACACCACAGTCTAACGGGGTAGCTGAACGAAAAAACAGAACCCTAATGGACATGGTAAACTGTATGTTACTCAGTTCAGGAGCACCTGAAAATCTCTGGGGTGAAGCTCTTCTCTCTGCTTGTTTTATTCTCAATAGGATTCCCCAAAGAAATTCCAATACAACTCCTTATGAATATTGGAAGGGGAGATCTCCTAATCTAAACTTCTTCCGAGTTTGGGGTTGCTTGGCTAAGGTAGCTATTCCCGAACCTAAGAAGAGGAAAATTGGTTCCAAAACTATTGATGCTGCTTTCATTGGATATGCACTAGATAGCAATGTTAATAGATTTCTAGTCATTAACTCTGAAATCAGTGACATATCCAACAACACTATCATTGAAGCTAGAGATGCAGTCTTCTTTGAAAATATCTTTCCTTTCAAATCCAAAATCTCAGAAAATTCTAGAACATCTATTCCTTCTGATCTTCCATCATCTAGTTCTTCCCAACCTTTTGACATTGAGCCTCGAAGAAGCAAAAGAGGTAGAATTCAAAAGGATTTTGGAGAAGACTTCTTTACCTTTCTTGTTGAAGGTGATCCAAGCTCATTTCAAGAAGCAATGGATTCACCTGAATCTCCTTTCTGGAAAGAAGCCATTGATAATGAGATTAAATCTATCATGGAAAACCATACTTGGATACTCACTGACCTACCTCCAGGCTGTAATCCTGTTGGCTGTAAGTGGATATTCAAAAAGAAACTTAGAGCTGATGGTTCCATAGATAAATTTAAAGCTAGATTAGTAGCTAAAGGCTATACTCAGAAAAAGGGCATTGATTACTTTGATACCTATTCTCCTGTAGCCCGAATTTCTACTATCAGAATTCTTTTAGCCTTTGCTGCTATCCACAAACTGATCATACATCAGATGGATGTCAAGACTGCTTTCCTGAATGGTGATCTAGATGAAGAAATTTATATGCACCAACCTGAAGGCTTCATTACCAAGGGTCAGGAAAACAAAGTCTGTAAACTTGTTAAATCTCTGTATGGTCTTAAACAAGCTCCTAAACAATGGCACCAGAAATTTAACAAAGTCATTGCACAATATGGATTCACGGTGAATGAACACGACAAATGTGTTTATTCAAAAGTGATAAACAATGACTATGTTATCCTATGTCTCTATGTTGATGATATCCTTATCTTTGGAACTACTCTTGAACTAATCTTAAAAGTTAAGGATTATCTCTCCAAAAATTTTGACATGAAAGACTTAGGTCTTGCCGATATGATACTTGGAATGAAAATCACTAGAGACACTAGAGGAATATCCTTGAGTCTTTCTCACAGTATTGAGAAAATGCTGATCAAATTCAACTTTCATAACTTTAAATCTGTTTCCACACCATATGATTCTTCTATACCTTTGAAGAAAAATGAAGGTGAACCTGTCTCTCAATTGAAATATTCCCAAATGATTGGATCCCTTTTATACATATCAAACCGGACTAGACCCGATATAGCTTATGCTGTAGGGAGATTGAGTCGGTATACCAGTAACCCTAACCCAGATCATTGGTCTGCCTTAGAAAGAGTATTTAAATACTTAAAAGGGACAGTTGACTATTGCTTAACTTACACTGGATACCCTGATGCCATTGAAGGGTATAGTGACGCCAATTGGGTCACAGATTCCAACAGTGTAAAGTCAACATCTGGGTATGTATTTCTTTTTGGTGGTGCTGCTGTATCCTGGAAATCATGTAAGCAAACAGTAATTGCCAGGAGCACCATGGAATCTGAATTGATTGCACTTGATACTACTTGCTCAGAAGCCGAATGGTTAAAAGATCTTATCTCTGAACTTCCTTTGGTCCCTAAACCTTTTCCTCCAATTTCCATTCATTCTGATTCTAGATCTACCATAGAGCTTCTAAAGCAAGTACATGTAAATAAAAAACTCAACAGACATATTCAAATAAGATATAAGTCTGTACAACGCCTGTTAGGCAAAGTTGTGATCTTGGATTTTGTAAAGTCTGAGAAAAATATTGCTGACCCTTTGACTAAGGGATTATCCAGGAGTGTAGTCCTGGATTCATCGAGGGAGATGGGGTTAAGTCCATTAAAGAGGTCACTGACAGTGGGAACCCAACCCTTATTTGGAGACGTTGTCCCAATGTCGGTTCAATGTGGTAGAAACAAGCTGGACTAGTGATACTCGGGTGGAGCATCGACCCATATATATATTCATATATCATTATGTAGTGTGAGCTACTACCCCTTCTCTATGATGACGATGCTCCTATGATACAGCTGGTTAGGCTGAGTTTTACTCTTAATAAGTCCAACGCATGTATTATTGGGGGGTATTAAATAAACAGCTGTAGTACCCTTTGAGGACTTACCTACGTGAGAGGAATCGTGATGGCCGCGGTTGGGGGGGGCTGGACTAAACTAACCCCTAGAAACTCTCATGAGTCGGTTATTGTGAGCATGGCCTTTTAACGCTCAACCCGCTTTGCTCAATAGATGAAGTGTATTGTGTGTGTTTTTGTCAATACCTGATTCAAGGGCCCTAATTCAAGGCTTAGTCCATTATGTCCCTCAGGTGGCGACAAACTCACTAAGGAAAGGTTCAAAGCCGGAAGCTACCTTTCCCGAATTCACGATACAAAAGGTTGCCCAACCTATATATATATATATATATATATGTTTTACTAATTGTTTTGTCAATATTGCCTTTTGGGGGGGATTGTTAGCATTTCTTAAGGAAAAGGCAATTTTGCCTTGTGAATAGTCCCACATTGGAAGTTGAGAAGAAGTTCAAGTGGTTTATAATGGTTTACTTCCTAATGGGCTTTGAATAGTGTTTTGGGTTTTGTGGGCTTTGCGTTTCTACCACACACGCGCGCGCGCGCGCACGCACGCCACGCCTCGCCTCGCCACGCCACGCCTCGCCGCTACTCGCGCCCGAGTAGAGAGGCCGGCCGTTTCCGGGGGGCTTTTACCGCTAGGGGGGAGGATCAACTACGCCAGGGCGACAGGCGGGTCCTCTATCTTCTAGGGCAGTGTATCACGACTGCACCCCGTTCAGGCCTGATTTTTCATAACTCATTTATTTTCAGTTAAACTAATATTGTTTATTGATAGCACCAAGCACCACCTGTCATCTAGCCGGTTCCAACTCCCGAGTCGAGTGCCACTCTCCTAGGCCCTACACCCGACTCGCACCAAGATGAATGAAGATCAACCCTCCCAAGCCTTTTCCGTGATTTCCCGCTCATTATCATTATTATTATTATTATTTATTGTGGTGTTCTCATTCGCCTTTTATTCCGTTTCGTACATTCATAGTTTTGTTTTGAACGGCCAATAGCGAGGGTGAGTCGATTCAACGTGTTGAGTGACTTGCGCATGTGGGGCGAGTCAACTGGCTCGCCCTTTACGCTTCTCTTGTTGGTTATGGAATGCCTTGGGCTTATTTATAGGATGCCAAGGTCTTTGGGTTGAGGTCGACCGAAAGATTAGAGTGTCTTGGTCTTCATGGTGCCAAGGGCTTTTGAGATTGGAGTCGACCAAGAGATTGGAGTGCCTTGGTCTTATGGTGCCAACGGCTTTTGCTGAGTGCCTTGGAGTCAACTTTACAAGAAAATCATGTAAGTAGGAATGAGGTTCGTGTCCCAGTACAAAGTCCACAATGCAATTATTGATACAAAATAAGTGCACCCAAATATGAGCACAACTAGAGTATTTTATTAGTTCATCCACTAATAATGCATCAGTGCACAATTGTATATCAATGCAATTTACCAACTTAAAATGTAAACTTGGACACTTATGATCTGTTTTCCTACATGGTTTTCTATAGTGGGTCCTCTATGGTATTTCTTTGGTAGTCTAGCCTACGACAAAACATTTCCCATAATTGAAGAAAATATCATGTGAATTGCATCCAGCGGACGTAGGATGGTCAAAGAAATGAGAGCTCTTGAATCGGTGCAGGAGAAGCGGACTTGGTGATTTGTGCACTATCCGAGGACTCTCTAGTTTCGGATTACCATAATATAGCTAAAATACTTGAGACATATTAGATCAAAATGACCCTGCAAATTAGTAAAAATTCTAGAAGCAGCGTCTCTGGCTACAAACTTTCAGGTTCTAATATCCTTGGTTGACCTCAGGAATCTCCCATATGTAGAGGAGCCAGATCAACTACCATTCTACCACGATGATATCACCTCATGTTCATCTACCGTATTGTCTGAGAACATAAGTCAGAAAAATGTTATCTAATATGAGCATTCTATCACGATGATATCACGTAATGTTCATCCATCTTCTTTTCTGAGAACGTAGTTATCTAATATGCGGGGAGAAATGCTCAAGTTATGCATATAATCTAGAAATATTGTTAAGTAGTTGCTTGTTCTCGTCAATTAACCCATAAGACAGCGGACAACTGTTTCTCTTGCTGTCCTCGTACCCTCCGTATAGAATCCAAATAAGCAAAATGTTTGCTGGAGTATGATTAAGGTAGGATTGTACTTGATTTGAAGGAACGCATACAAGGGATTTGCCATTAGGACATTATTATATATGCCTCGGTTAGTAGTTCTCGAGTCAAAGACAGCAAAACCTTGAGACTGTGCTTCGCATCAGAGTCCCAGCTATGAGATGTATTTGACTAAAATTTCTCAAACCATGTGATTTTTTCATCCACGTAGACAAATTCATATTTTAGAGTACTGTTTGCTTGCATAACTCTGTACATTCATAGTAGTAATATACAATACATTATAAAAAGGAACGTGCAAATATAACTAATTTACTGCAGAAAGTTTAATAATAATACTCAACAGTACTAGCAAAAAGGAAAAGAAGGAATTTTATTACTGGAAGCAGCCCATATCTGTGTCTGTTTGTTGGGGATTTCTCTCTACAAAAATAGGAGGACAAGTCGTTCATCCGGCTCATGGACAAAAGAAATAGCTTCATTAACAATGTACACTGTTGACCAAGAAACAATACATCACGTTATTGGTACAAAAGAAAAAGAAAAAGAAAAAGAAAAAGAAAAAGGAAAAAAGGACTATTGCAAGATCTCCCAAAACTTTGAAGGGAAGAAGAAACCATAACATCATAAATATAAATTCGAGTCGCTTCCAGCTTATAAAAAGCACCTTCAATTCTCACATTAGGTACTACTTTTCTTTCATGTGCAAGCAGTTAGTGCCTGAAACTGCAGAACCTCCTCTTCAAACAAAATTAGAGAAGAAACCACTTGTGGATGCCGGATAAAGGAGATGACAAAAAAGCCTTCTCGAGTTTTGTACATTGATAGAATGCCGCAGCAATTGGTAAGAACCTTGATCAGAAGACTCCGGACCTCTTGTATCATGCTGCGGCATCTAGAAGTTCTATTACTGCTGCATTCTCAGTGTTCTGAAGGGAGATGCCAAGGGGGAGCTGCTCAGAAGCACAGAACATTGTCAGTAGTTCATTTAACATGGCTTCGAAATTTTTTTAAGGAGGTTACATCATACAAGTATTACAGTAGGACATCTCTATCGCTAAAGCACATACATCTGCTTCATTCTGCAATCAAGAGAAATTTTAAACACAACATGCACAAGCACACGTGCTTTATAGATAACAGATCTGATTTCTCCCAAAACTAAGTTCATCAAACAAATAGAAGTATGAAATGTCTTAGAATATTGGACATTTGACTATGCATTAATCTCCTGAACTTGAAATTGCCTATAGACCATCAATATAGGTTTCATGTTGACATGAAACACCACCTTACTTTCCAAACTTCGAATTGAATCTTATCTTGAAGTGCATCTCCGTGTACAATACTAAGCGGCTTGATGTCACTCACATAAACAATTAACTGGCAATTTGATTGTTGTTACACAGTTTCTTTCCCTTCCTACCCCGTATGCATATCCAATGTTGCAAAAACAAGTATGAGACAATATATTTAAAAGAAAAAAAGAAACACACCAGAAATGTAGAAAGCCATGTCCATACTAATCGTTAGTAAGAATAAATTTTGATGAGCACAAATAGTTTATAACTAATGTTAGATGAAAAGTCACATTAAAGACTAGGTAACCAACTTACAAGTTAAGAGCTAATGAGCTTGTAAGCTAGTTAAAAAAAAAAAAAAACCCATTATCAAAAATGAGGAAAACAGAAGGTACAGCTATAGCAAGACTGCTCGCTGCTTGCAAAATGCATAAGTTGCCACCTCGGACGTCTGAATAACCTACAGCATTAAATATGAGAACTTTGAGCAAGGAAGGTGTCTGCATACTAATATACCACAGCATATTTCGTGGTTTCAAACAATGTACTTTCTATGGTCCTACATTCTCATTAGATCACTGATTTAGGGATTCTTGCAAAATGAAAAGCTGCAAAAATCACACGCTAACCGACATAAATTAAGAATACGAGGCATGTTATTATTTTCGTGCAAAGAAATTGACCTGTGGACCCCTAGAATCGACAAAACTAAGTTTAGAGGCCATGTGAAATTAAAATATCCCTTGAAATGGAGAAATCAAGGTGTGAGGCAATATCAATAGAACTTATTATCTTTATTGATAAAAAGGTCCTGCAATGCATTTCTTTGATTTTATTGCTTCTCTAGTAGTAAAGTCCATGTCCTATGAGGGTGACTCCAGTCACTTGCAAGGTTTTAAATATCGGTCATCGTGGATTTATCGGATGGTCAAAATCCATATCGGATAGCAAATAGGGATATATCGTGGATAAGTAGTATTTATTGGAGTGACATTACCAGATGGTGATATATATAATATAATATTTTAAAATGTAATCTAACCATACTTAATAAAATATAAACATACCAAAATGTAAATAATTATGTTTAGGATCACTAACCAATGGTAGAAACTCGGGTCGGGTCGAGTTTAAAGTACATTAAATAGGTGTGCGGCGCTCGAAATCAAAACTCAAACCAAAGGCTGATAATTCCAATTTTTGGGCTGACAATATCGGTAGTTAACTCACTTTATCGCCGCATTATCGGTGATAAACATCCAAAAATGATAACCGATTTAGAATCGAACTTATCATAGAGGAAGGCCCACAAAACCGAAAAATCGCCAATAATATCGGTTTATCGCCCAATATTTAAAACATTGGTCACTTGGTTATCAGTAAAGACAGACTATATGCAAGCTTTAGACCTTGTGCAGAAATCAAATGGTTTCTCCAGATGCAAAGCTGAATTACTGCTCCATCTTGATAACACCATTTCACTGACGAAACGAAAATAATCCATTTCTTCGAGTATGTTCTCATTATTTGGAGTTGAATATAACTCTTGTAAGAGATCAATTATCTTTCCTTTTCTTCTAGACTCTTACGCTTAAAAGAATCTCCAAGGTGATTCTGGCGCACATATTTGAACTGTATGACCAAAAATTAGGTTTTCCTTATTTCCAACTGGTTTTCTAGGATTTTAGATCAGGTGATGGGGAACCAACAGCGAAGATATGTTGAGACTTAGATAAAATAAGACAAAAAAAGGAAAAAAATATAGAAATTACATTTCTCATTTAATTTAATAAAGAAAAAGATACAAATGTTGGGTTTCACACCCCGAAATTTCACATACCTAATACTAGTTACAGCTCACCTGCAGAGTTTCTCACAAAAAAAATTCTCTCCTCCCTTAAAATGAAGAACACAATAGGACTGATGAAAATTCCTAATCAATAAATAAAATCAAATAACAATAAATAAAAAGATAACAAATTCAGTCCTAACTATATATCTCAGCTAAAAGAGAAATAAAAATCATAATTAAAACCCAATCTTCAAATTATCTGCATCATTAAGCTTCTCTGTTGTGCAGTTTACTTCCTTAGGGATTTGAGACTCTTCTTTCAATGAATTTAGCACTATTAAAAAGTCGAATTTAGCTTAACTTTCCTAAAGATCAAGTATCTCATGGACGCTTGTGCTTTTTGATATCCACACTTTTGTGGAGAAGTATCAACATTATGATGATGACAAAATACAATTCTAGTCCAAATAATAGCCAAATGTAACCATAATAGATCTTAATCAATAATATAACTGCAGAAGTTGTCAAACATTCTCATGTAAATATAATCGTAACTGTCAAAACTAACCTTTCTTAATATGAGCTTGAGCAGTTTTCTAGAATGAAATCGGCCTAATTTCTAGCAGTAGAAATTTAATTTCAGGTGAAAAAGACTAACCTTTCTTAATATGAGTTCGAACGGTTTTCCAGAATGAAATCGGACTAATTTCTAGCAATAGCAAGATAGTTTTGGGTGAAAACTAGTGTTTATGAAATCTCTTAGAACAAATAAGTTATGTGAATAATTAATATTTACTCTTTAAAAAAAAACATCCTAAGTTAGTTGACAATTTTCAGGAAGAAAAAAAAATGTTTCCAGCTGCATCTAAGTCATTTGCTACGCATAAATGCTTACCTGCTACTAATAGAGCCCAAAAGAATCCTCACATTAAAGTGAGAGAAGAGAAAGAAGACAAGGGGAGGAGACATAGAAGCAAAGACAGAAAAGAAAAGGAAAGGAAGAGGAAGAAGTAGATTTTATCCTCCAACGTCTCTTTATGTTTGACAACTTGTGAATATGCATATCCATGCAAATGACCTAAATTTTGGACTTTGTTACAATAGAATGTAGGGAAGAACATTCATGGTGGGTCCAAGTTGAATTTATGTTGGTTTTGGATTAGATCTCATTCCGAACTGATAAATTTAAAGTTAGTCATTGTGTCATGTGGGTTGACCCCTTCATGAAAGGATAATTACTTATCTGTCCTCTAAAATTTTATCTTCACCTGAACTCATGAACTAGTTTTTTAGTATTCTGTAAGAAAGACAGAAAAAACTTTGCAAATATTACGCGCTCTCCTAAGCATGTTTAGGAGTTCTCAACTAGCTCTTTGCCACTTTCCCAGAAGGTTACAGAACTAGGGTTTTTAGAGCGAACTAAGTCTCAGACTCTTAGCTATTGACAAAATTATGGTAAATTCCTACAACTATCAATTAATTAACTGTGACCTTAGAATGTGAAAGGTGGTTACATTTCTACTTTAATAGAACTTTAAATAACTTGTCTTGACATAAAAAATAAATTGTTAATTATATCTTCAATAAATTATTATTTGGATACTAGTTTTATTATACTTTCAATCATGAAAAGCTCATGCATGGAACTAGCGGTCGCTAGATTATATTGATGAAAAGACAAAAAAAGGATGTTGTATGTGATATCATAAGCATCCATTTCAGCATTAATTGAAGTGTTCTACTATAAGCATGTTTGCCAGCCTAATTATTTTTACATATAAGGTTGTTTTTACTTAAATAAGTATTAAGTTACGTGCTAGGTTAATGTTTACTTATTTACTTATTTTTTACTTAAATATGAAAAAAATGTTGAGACTTTCCGAACTTATTATTTTTGTTCCTTATATGGTGTTTTACTTATTAATATTAAAAGACTATATCGTCTTGCGAAAGCCCTTTATCACTCAATCAGCCTTTCACTTCACTAACCCTCATACCCTTCCCCGTTCGCTTCTTACCTCATCTACTTGTTGATGTAATCAATTTTATATTAATTCATAAATTATATGATTAATATGAAATTAATAAATTACTCTCAATATTACTAACTAGTAACCACACATAATGCGATATATAAAATACATTTTACTTTAAATATTTTCTTACCATGAAATAATTACCTTTTATTGATTCATTAGTTAATTAATTAATAATTTTTTTAATAATTATTATTTGACTGTTTTGAAATTACTTAATCAATCTCAATATAGTAATTAACAGCCAAAAATAATTTGATATATTTAATTATTTATTTATAATTTATTACTTAGCAATTTTACTAATTATATATTAGTTGATTAAATAAATTAAGCAATCAGTCTCAATGTTAGTAATTAATAGCAAAAAAAATTTAGGTTATAAAATATTTTTAATGAAATGTTTTCTTACTATGAAATAATTAATATTTTTTAATTAATAGTTAACTAATTAATACTTTTACCAAAGTAAATATTTGATTAATATTAATTTAACTAGTCTCAATAAACCTAGAAAAACAGTCTAAATAATAGTAATTACTATTTAATAACAAAAATATATTTTAATTAAATATCATATTATGAAATAATTAATTCTTTTATTTATTAATTAATTGTTTATAACAATTTTATTAATAATAATTATTTGATTAATGAATCAATTAATTAGTCTAGATAGTAGATTAAGTAATATGTCCTTTCTGGTCATGTGATAGTTATTACAACATTATAAGTTATTGGCTTACCAAACACATAACTGGACACAAATTCTTGAATCATTGGATCTACCAAACGCTTTCCTTATTTTTTTTTAACATCCTCATAAGGGCTTTTGAAAATAAGCGGTAAGAAACTTGTAAGGTTTTATAAAATAAATAGTAGCCAAACATGCCCTTAACATAAAATTTTCGTATAGGGAACCGTGTGATCATGAAGTTTAGTTTCTTGAAACATCATGCTTAAAAATGTAATTAAATACATAAGTGAAATTTGAAGGCTTGTCTTGCAAATATTTCTTGAATATTCACTTATAATTGTAGCAAAACTACTAATGATACCAAAGAAAAAAATTCATAAGGATTTATAAGGATGATTTGTCAAATGTTACTAGACCCTCAAAAGGTTCAGCATTAATGAAGTGATTGAGCCTAGAAGTTTTAAAGCAACTAGGTGGGCATTTGGGCAACCTAAAACTTCTCGGATGATTTCTTAGTGATTTACGAGCATGCCATGCTTGTAAAGTAATATGTAGCCTTGCTGGAGGAACAAGAAAATACGTGACTCGAGATAAAAAAAATTATTGTTGATATATTGTAATAGATTTGAATTATTTATATGTTTTCAAATATATAGTGATAAACATTTGATATTCGACAAACTTGAAAAGTGCATCTACATGGCAATCTTTACTAATAAGGTATACAAGTTTTACTGTTGTATGTATTCAAAATTTGTCTACCCTACTAGTAAGTAGTTATCATACTAATTATATTTGTCGTGCTCCTTCAGGCTTCAGTTTATCCTATGATAGTGAGCTTACTCAGGTCCTCTATAAACCTAGTGTTCCCGCACCCAAACTCGCCTCACTCCTCCCCCAATCCGCCCACCATCGAGGGATCTTAGACCCAACTTTCGATCCCCAAAAAAGAATAGATCTTGCACCTCTTTCAAGCTTGATGATGGCATGTAGCTCGTTGACGAGTTGTAGGTCTGCCTTCGAAAACGTTTCAAATAGAGAGAAGCTTGTGAAAGATTAGTTGAAAGTTGATTTTGGGTGCCTTTGAAAATGTTTTAAATTTAGAGGAGCTTGTGAAAGATTGGTTGAAGGTTGATTTTGGGTGTTGGTTCTTATAAAAAAGATATTATAAAAAAAACTTTTGACAAGTTGAGGCTGAATGTTGAAATTTTTTTTGTTGAATTTGTGATGGAGATTGAGTTTATGTTTTTTTGAGTTTGGGGAATAGATGCTTGTTGCATGATTCAACCAAATAATGTTAGGAATATCATTGATTTTGGTCACATATATGGTTAACTCCATTGGGTGATTGTTGTAAAAGATTAATTGTGCATAAATATTTAAATAAAGTATTAGCAAATATCAACCTAGATTTTTGATTTGTTGTTCTTTAAATTAATAACTATATAATTAATATATAGTGATTATGAGTTACTTAGGCTTAATTGACATAAATATTTAATTAAACTATTACTAATTATTAATTAAAATATGTTAATTATATTAAATGTTTACTTTAAAGTATCATAAAGTTTAATTACGTAATATATTTTAAATAACATAAGAATTATTAGATAGTTATTAAAATTAAGAATATTGTGTTATTATATAATTGATATAATAATAGTTTATTCATGCAATTTAAGAAATAATAAATTAATTTCACACTTAGTAACTATATAAACATCACATCTTATAACAATTCCATCATCAATTTTCTCACTCAATTTGTCCTATTATTCTCAATTGTGTCACTCAAATTGTCTCATTATCCCACTCAAATTATTCCAAGCGGATAAAATTACTCTAGTGGGACAATTACGCCAATTGTGGCTCAATTGGCCACAAAATGTTTCAACGAATAACCCCCCAAGACAAACAAGGGGTAGATCACTATATATTATTACTGATATGTAACACGCATCTTTGCATAGCAATTGCAAGAGAACACGAACTACAAGGGGTCGGATCCTCCTCAGAAGGATACAAGAATACGTTATGGGTTGTCAGCAATTGTTTATCATCTGAATATGCATGTCAAAATATTCAGTCACAAGAACTTAATTTCAAGAATATATACTATTTCTATTGACAAAAATAAAGGTAACTTGATTGCAGGGAAATAGTTAGAAATAGACCTCTTTATGATAGTTTTCTGATAGGGAAAATGGCTCTTGTTCTGGAATCCCACCATGCTTCTCAAGAATATTAGCTAATTCCTGGAATGAAAGATAATCTGAATTAAACATCTAGATTACAAGATCATAAAATGCTAATATGCATCGGGTCATGAGAGCTTCTATAATGAGGCCCCATCTCATTGCACATACTATATCAAAATAAATTACAATGTTATTTCATCTAAAAATTTGCATAGCAAACATGAATACAGACTAACGAACACAGAAATAAAAAGTTTCCATTTTATATAAATCATAAGATTTCCATCTGAATTGCTGGGTAAAATAATTGGCATTTAAAAAAAAATCCGAGCTCTCGCACATCTATATGAAATTTAAAGAGCTTTTGTGTTCTCATCTAAGTCATCTTAAAGCAATCGACATTCACGTTCAATGGATATGGTTAAAGGCTATGTAGCATGTATATTTCTATCATGAAGCTGTACCAGTGTTGTCCCCGTACCAACACCAACACTTAATTGGACACTCCTTCGATACACTTATCTAATATCTACGCAAGTATATAATACATGTTTTAATTTAAAAGACTTAACTACACTTCTTAGATGTATATCCAGTTCACATACAATTCTTGAAACTCCTTGGAAATGAACCCGCCCATATTTCAGAACTATGACCTCAGGTCTTTTCGTTATCTGGTTTAAAAAGGTGCAGTTTTCTAATTTATAATCTACATGATAAAAAAGAAACATAAAAATATTACATAAGTTAATTCTCATAACACGTGAATGGGTAAACAATATTGATCTCCTGTAAATTGCAATATATATAGATATAGTATTATAGTCATGTCCCCATACCCTACATTACAAACTTTCAATATCCTGTACCCTCACCTGTACCCACATTGTACACGCGTATGTTTAACATAGGTTGTAGGTATCATATTTCACTAAAAAAGTATATTGTTAGTATTTTTCCTTAACTAATTTCCTTATATTTGAGCAAAAACATAGTAAGTACTTAAACGGTCATCACAAAGAAAAAGCGATAAGAGAAACATGGAAATAAACCTTATCTAATTCAAATCTAAACGTAAGTCATATAGACTACCCAACCATACAAATAATTAGGTGAGAATCATGTCTTCAGTCCAAAGCATAAGAACAGGTTATTACACTTCCTAAACAAGACTCTTATAACCTGTCTATTTGTGAAATTTTGAAGACACAAACTTCTGAGGGGTGGTACGAGAGGCGAGTCTAACAAAGAGACCTTTTAATTTGATGGAATCTGTATCTAATTTATAATGGCAATGAATTAAAATTTGTCACATAATCATAAAGAAGAAGCCAGGCTTGGCTGCTTAATGAAGTTTCCACCATGTCCTGGAGACTTCTCCACTATAAAATAAGACCAATTTTCGTAGGTAAATACTTGGACTATTATGGCCAAATGTCACCCAGCAGCAAGTTGATCATAAGAACCAGTTAAAAGCCAACCCACAGGAAGAACTTGAACTCAATATTATAATTTGCCTTTTATCCAACATCTGATCCAATGTGTGCTGATATTTAAAACTGCAGTTGTATCACTATTGTGTACTTTACCGGGCAAAATATAAATTGTAACGGGATCAAACTTAGTCATAGAGTGGTCTAATAAAAAAGAATAGACGTATAACTGTTGATATTTACTCCAAAAATCCTAGGCTTACATGTTTCTTCCAACTGGAGTCATTATGCATGGGAACAATATGCATAAACTAAGCTCTCCAGTCTCTGACAAGTTGTTAACAAGTGTTACCAGATGAAAACAACAGTGAAGTGCTAACCACTTGCACATGTTAGGACTTCCAGTTGCAAGGGAAACCAAATGACTTTAGAAACCAGAGCACCATAAATGCTTGTTTTCCTTACAAATGCATTCCAAACCTCATATACATCCATTAATAGAGTTTATAAGCATATTTTTAATACCAAAAAATACACTAACTTCTTCCCTTCTACCCATTTCACACTCCTTTTAGAAAATGCAGTTGAGGCACTTGGATTTAGTAGCCAATATTCTGATGGAAGATCCTTACATGCGGCTATTGTTGATGGATGGGTCTTTCATGCATCACATTTCTAAAAATTCATAGTAAAGACATATTTAGCTTAACTGCCAACTTGCAATTGTACATATAAAATCATTGTATTCATTATATGAAAAGTGCATGACAAAGTGCACCCGGTACTAATCATAAGCATATAATAGACTAATAGCTAGTAATGAAGTAATTAAAGTCTCCCAAACTATTACACCAAAACTCCGAATTACAGTGAGGGTTGAGAGTTATATTTATATATTCGAACATGCTCCCGCAGGTTGAGTGCTCTATTTATGGGCTGAAACCTGGATTAACACCGCGGTATCATTTTCTAATAGCAAGTTAAAGTCCCTAACCATTACACCAAAAGTCCAAAGCTATGGTGAGGGTTGACAGTTATATTTTTATATTCTAATAGAAGCGAACCTATCTAATGTAACGAACATCCTAATAACTGAATCCATGCTATGTGCATGTTATGTTATTATTTTTCTGTCTTCCCAACTTGCAAATTGCATATGATTAATCTAAAGTTTTAGTGATCAACAACATGAAGATTGCTGAGTTCCAAGAACAAACTGAAGGAGATATCAACCATATGCGTTATAACTATGCTTGCAGCAACAATCGATTTCTTGGGTCCTTATGGGTGTCGTCCTGCCGCTATGCACACCTACTTATAGCCAAATCAGTACAAATATAATTCTTTAGCACAACTTGGTCAAAAATTCGATGACATCACCTGATTTTGTTCAGTGCAGCCGAAAGTTACTAAGAAGAAAACTTGGGAATTTGGCTTGGCAGAAGCAATATTCACAATCTAAACACATGCATTCACACTCTCAAGCATTCATATACTTTCCATACATATAACAAGGCTACTCTATATCTACATACAGTAACATGCCTTTTTGAACAAGATATAAGAAATAGCTACTCACATGTCCTGTTAAGTTTTCAAACATAAGCAACTGCTCCACTATCTGTTCAAGTACTGGGCGATTTTTTTGAAGCAATTCCTTAGCCTTATCATATGCTAAGTTGTACATCTGCAACCCCAAAAGAAAAGGGGAAAAAGGAAGAAAAGGCAAGAAAAAAACTGTGAACATGGGCAAACAAGATTTTTCATAGAGAAAAGTCACAAAGGTGAGAAAAATACTCCTTGAGCATAAAAAAGGGTTATTTCGCGCAAAGAGAAATTGTTACTCGTGAAAAAACATAAACCTTTTCAACTCTAGCTGCCATCTCAAACTCATGGTTCTTCCCCATACTGAGAGTCCCAACCTGAATCAATATCATGGTAGAAGTAATAAAGTATATCCATGTAAATGTCAAACATTTATTATTAACCACATGCCTCAGCAACAAATACCAAAAGATACCCCATTAAAAGTTTCAAATTTTAATATGTCAATTTTTGAGCATTTATATAACTTAATTTACTTAAAACTCATTATTTGCCCAAGATAATATACACAGCAAGGAATAACATAGTTATAAGGAGAAGATCAAGTAAACTTTACAAAAAGAAGAGACAGGAAGTACATAGTCAAGAGCAAAGTTTCTTTAGATTGCAGAAAATGGTCACAAAAATAACATCAACTAGAACAGCATATTACACTAACATTATGTAAACCCTCGGACATCAATTTCTAAAACTCGCTAGCTCTTCTGTGAAACGTGCATTTCTTGTTTATTGATTTGCCTTTCATGTATCATGATCATGGTAAGACAACTAGGGAAACAGGTTCAAACAGGCTAGGGACAAGAACTATGAGAAGGAAACCTAGTTATGATCAAACCAGGCATGTAAGCAGTAATTCAAGCTTACGGATTAATCCTACCATGACCACTTTAGATAAGAGTTCAGATTTTTCTTTTTCTTTTTTCTTTTTTTTTTGTTGGAGCGGTAGTGGGAAAATTGACAGATAAGTCACACCTACAGTCAATCTAGAGCACTCTAGAGAACCATACATGAGAATTTTCACCTCACGTAACTCCTCATTCAATTCTTTTAAACTAACTGGATGCTTTTCTTTATTTGAGCTGAGAACCATTATTTCTTCCGCTTTTTTCCAAAGAGTAAGTAAGAGCAAGTTACTCCAGTTTTCATGTCCTAATTGAATATTTTACAAAGTGAAACCATGTCCCCTTACTTTAGGGTATTTTGGGGTGAATTTTGGTGATACTATAAATTTTAAGGATGGGAATTGAACTATCAGAAGCAAACAAGACGAAGAATGAACTACTGTCAATGCTTGTGTGAAGAGGTGTAGCATTACAAAAAATCAGCCCAATTGAAGTCTTCAGTGTTACCTGGTGAAATATTATGATCCCCAATATATGTCGCCATATTAGGTAGTGTAAGATTTTTTAGCTGTTGAGAAAAGGAAAATATGAACAAAAAGGGGGTTTGCAATGAAATCAAGGAATCCAGATGTGTTAGGGAAGCCTGCCTTATGTTCACCTGCTATAATGCACAGAAGGATGTCCATAACAATAGAGATGACACAGCGCATAAGCTTGTTTATCTAGTTTCTAACATTTTCTCTTTCAGCGGATGTTAAGATCCTATTAAAGAAAAAAGACTGCCTGAATTACTCCAATGCTTACCCACACAGTTTGAATGAGATATGTATTATTATTCATAAATGAAAAAGGGGTAGATAAAAGCTTCCCAATTAACAATGTCTGCAAATTGTACTGATAAAACAGTAACATAGATAAAAGGTTCCACACCCTACTTGCCCCCTTAACTATTAAATTTGCCCCTACTTAGGTCCTGAACTATTTTTAGCCACTATATACCCCTTAAACTATTGAATATGTCTCCTGCTTACCCTGTAAACTATTTTTTGTCTCACCTTGCACCCTAAAATATTGAATTCTTCCCCACTTTAACCCCTGAACTATCACTTTCAGCATCTAGTTTACTGCTTTTCACTTATTACTCCGTGGGTGTTTTAAATGGATTTACGAGAGAAAGTGATAGTTCAAGAGGTACGGTGAGACTGAAAATAGTTCAAGGGGTAAGTGGGAACAAAATTAGTAGTTTTGGGGCAAGATTAGTAATTTTGGCACAAGATTAGACCAAAAATATTTCAAGGGTAAGGAGGTACAAATTTCATAGTTTAGAGGGCAAGTAGGTGCTGAAGCCTAGATAAAAATCATTGGCTAAGTTATTCCCAACCACGGCAAACTTGAGTTCATTATTCATGTCCAATTACAGAACCATAAAAGAACAGAAAGCATATCAAGACCAGATAAATAAATCCGAAAGTAGCAACAAGATATCTTACAAATTCATAGAAATTAACTTTCAGCTTGAAGGAACAGATAGTTACCGCATTGCTAGTGACGTAAATCGCAGGGCTGTCATCAGGCCCCCATCCATATTGTATCACCATCCTGGTAGCAATCTGCAATGGACGACCACATTCTTATAACAAACAAGAGAAGTCCACATGAAATTTGATCAAAACAGATACAAATATAATGAAGTACTAAGTTCCTCAACAAGGTAGAATAAAATACAGAACCTCTTGTGCCTGCTTGAGTTCTGATGAAGACAAGAAATTTTCTTCGCCAAAGGGAAGTAGTAGCTGAGATGCAACATACGAACCAAAGCAAAATACAAGTTTTTTCTCAAGGTATGACCTTGATTCCAGGTTCCCATTCACAGAACCTTCATTTTTTGCCTTTGTAATCTTTGTACATCCAATCCCCTGCCCAGATAAACCTTGGCTGTATTAACTTATGGTGCCAAGTAAAATCATAGATGGAAGTAAATGAACAAAATAAAAATGGCAGCATTTCCTCTGTGCAACCCTGTATTACGTGAACATGAGTTATAGGTGTCAAGTGTCCGTATGTTTGGAAGCAGCTTCCATAAAAACCTTCCAAAATTGACATAGAGAATACGATGTTTGGTAATACTAAAAATACTAGAATAAATAGAATGAATAGACCCACAGTTAAGATTAGCAATTCTGGTTTGATCTTTTTTCCACATAATCTGAACCTTGAAATCTTTCATATCAAGTGTTAATGTTGAGTGCAAAAATATGCCATCTGGAAACTATGAACTGCTATGTAAATGTGTTTGTACTTGAGGTATCCTGAAGTATCCTCAAACTGATAAATGTCTCATTAACAGGCATGACAAAAAGTAAAGTATGAAATTGACAGACAACCATTTCTCTTGAGAACAGGAAGTGTATCATACATATAGGAGGATTTGTGATGCAGGATGATCGTGGAGTCACCATCGATTAGAAGATTTTGGAAGATTTTTGTATTAGTCCTCTTTTTTCTCAACTGAGTATTTGGTTGACAACCAAACTTGGATTGTTATTCGATTAATTTGAAAGTGCCAATTATGACTGGAGAGACTCGACACTTAAAATTTGATGAGAAATTGTAATATTATTACAATTAATGTGACTTAGAAGAGTATTTGATTAATTGGCAACGTAGGACTAGTCCTTCGAGATACCTACAGTAGTTTATGGAGTGTTTCGTCACTCAAATAACTCACCACGTTAATATAAATTAATGATTATACTTGTAGACAAGCAAATGACATTAGTTACAAAATGAATGGTGCTGAACGTTGATGATTGATTGGATTTTTGTTTGTTAATCCTTTTGTACATATAGAGGGGTTTAGTAACTTGCTCTTAGACTGCGAGGTATTTGATCTCCTAGGTTAGGGATTACCCGCCGGACGCTTAGCTATCAACCGTGATGTCAACGATGGTATATAACGCCGAACTAGTTGTATGGTCAATGCATCGAAGGATTGGGATTTAATTATATGTACAAAAGAAAATAATTTAAGGAACAATGGGGATGGGGGATATAAGGAGGTAAGTCGTATCTTACGATGAGTTGGTTGGCCAAAGGACTCCGAGATGAGTGCCTATTTATGAGTACGTAAATGTGTAATCACCTTAAGCGGACAAGCTCAAACATTGCATATCCAAATAATTACATAATTAAAGACCAATTTAAAATGATATTTGTTCAATGCAGTTGTAGTTACTTTGCAATTTACTTCATGATTAATATGATGATGTGATATGATGATGATGCAGTTGTGTGGATGATATCCTCTACTTTGTTTAATATATTGGTGATTTTCTCTCATCGTTTTCACTTGTGACTTTTTATACCTTTTTGGTATAAGTTGTGACAGTGTTATAGGACTTGAGTAGACATGTTTGGTAGTAGTGTTATATTTAATGAGGTGTGATATATTCACTTAACAGTCCAATGCGTATGTTGTAGTCTACATCCTATTTATGTTACTTTTTTTAATCATATCTTATCACTCTATCAATTGGTTTGTGCAAATTATCTATTTGCTTATCACTATCTTTTACACAATAGTAATCGGCCTCATACATATTCCATCCAAACGAGCATCAAAGAAGATAAATAATCATAATGCTAAAGTTCACAAATACAAGTGAGCACAAACTAATGAAGTAGAATTGAATCAAGGAACAAATCTTTTATACATAGTGTAATTTAGAAGAGAAAAAAGAGAACCTGAAAAAATTTCTCTGAATAAATTTGGATTATCTAATTAAATTTGGGTTAGCTTCTAATTTATAAATAAAAAAGAGTGGAGGGTTTGATGGAAAATGTACCCCTTTTTCTTGGTGATTGTGGACTATCATGGGCAAGGATGATATCATAGCAAAGTGGATCGATTAACTTTTAATTTGTTAATAGAAAGTTTGGAGGGCTTAGATGAAATTTTTTTATAGCTAATTATTTATCTAATAGAATTTCTATTAGGAGAAAGGTGTATGCATAAAGTTTGCATACATAACCGGCCATGCTTAAGGTAAGTCCGTACAATGGATAGAAACTTTTTTTTTGGGTATCAGATAGAAAATTGTTTGATGATAGGGATTTTAACTAAGGACTATACTTTTAAATAAACTATGAATATATAGGTTCAGCATTGATAAGATTAGTTTAGGAATTTTCATTTAATTATTCGATCTCCTTTAAATAGCACAAAATTGATATTAATTATTCTAATTAAACATATTATTTTACGACAGGATAAAAATGTTATAACCAAAAGGGTCAAAGGTCTTTTTGTCCAGGAGAAGTTTTTTCCCAAACGCCCACACTTAAATGGAGTATGATACGATATATATATATATATAAATACACACACACACATATACATATATATACATACACACAAACATACACACACACATATACAGAGAGGAATATGGGTATCCTTGTACCAAGAATCGGATTTAGTCTTTAGTAGTGAGGTGTCTACTTCTCATCCATTCATCTAATATGTAAGGAATTATGCGTGAAACATTTTCCAGCAAGCAACTTTTAATATGTGAATGAGAAGTGGTCAAAGAACAAACTTGGTCATTGATAGTGAGTTGGTCACTTCTCATTCATACAATTAGAAATTGGTCCCCAATTAATTACCCATTTACTATATGAGTAGAAGAGAAGTGGTCACCTTACTACGAAGGACCAATTTGAACCTTGGTCCAACGATACTCACATCCTCATACTGTCATACATATATATGCACATACGTGTATGCATGAGTGTACATGAGCAGTGTGTATGGTTAACAGAGTAAAAAAAATAGCACTGACAAACCTCCCAAGCAGTGGGTTCCAGCCATATATTATCAACAACGTCAAAGTTTGGTAGAAGAAGAGCCATTAGGCTCCTTCCGGCAGCCCAGACAGCATGTGGTAATTTTGCATCCCTGCTCCACTATGAAACAATCAACAAGATAACATAAGTCGCTTGTATGAAACAAGAGGAATAAAATAACAATCATACAGTTACAAGAGTTTGTCTTAAGAAACATAATGAAAGTAATATCAAGAGGAAAGAATAAGAGGCAAAACAAAGCAATTGTATATCTTGTTACTTAGTAATACCAGATGAGATCCATTCTCCTGGTTCCAGCAGAAAGGTTCTATCTTTGGGTTTCAGGGGGGAAAAGCTACAAGACTTTTCAACAGAGGAAATAAAAGTGAATTAATTTTGATCAACAAACAGAACTAACATTGTATTAGGTTATAAGTCCATTACTGTAAAAGTTGGACGTGTAAAATAAAAACAATGACAGTTTTAATGAAAGAAACATAAATAGAAGTTGATTTCCCAATACTCATTCATTTCTCTAATCATGTTCCTTCATTTGTGTTCATACTCTCGATGTCACGTTGATCCGACTCGTAATCTTGTCATAAAGCTGACCAATAAAATTTTCCTTTCATTTCAAGGGAATTCTATAATCACAGACTACTTCTGATGAACTATCTTATTTAAATTATCCAACTACAGTTTTATGATCCTCGACGACCTCAACTTCAAACGAAGTGATTGATCCAAGAAAATGCCAAACGCACACTCTCAAAAATTTCATCTGATGCACTATCAAGCATCTTTTGCGAAGGAAAATGGTCACTCGAGAGTGTTTCTTGCCTACCAATTTGAACTACCAGCAGTTCTTGCAGTCTAACTTAATTAAACTTCAGCTTTTCCATCTTCTTTACTAATGCTATGTTTTTTTTAAAAAAAACTTATGTCCACATATTTCTTTAGTGTTTGTGTCATCTCCAGTCCTACTAGTATGACCATATCATTAGGGAAAACATGCAACTAAAAGTATTATATTAAATGTGATTATTACTCTCAGAGATCACTAGTGCAAAGAGCAAAGAACTAATGATGACTCTTGATATATGACCCTAGCAATAAAGGATGTGTCCATTCAGCAAGTAGCTACAGCTTCATTATCACATTGCAACACTAGCAAGGTGCCTTTCTCCGTGCAACCCAATCACATCCTCTAGTACTGCCATAAGTCTTTTGCAAATGGATGAAAGTCATTAGTTGTTGAAAGGCCTTGCAATGTTCCATGGAAATTCCATGTAAAATTTTATTGATCGGGACTGTTATAACTAATATTAAAAGTTAACCCAGTTTGGCTGTTCACAGTTCAAATCAAAGATGATTATGAAAGAAAATGATGATTATGCAAGAAAATGATCTTCTTTCAAATCCTAGCACTTAGTTTATGAATGTGTCAGTCAAGCAACACTTTGTAATATAAAGGACAGCATAGTGCAAGAAGCTCCAGCTATAAGTGGGATCCAGAAAGGTGTTGGACTACTTTTCAGTCTATTGTAGGACAAATTTTCAAAACCAACCCTTTTGGTTTTTTATTTGTAAAAAACGACCTATTTCAGTTTTATTTACAAAAACCGACCTGGTTTCAGCCTCAGCGCTGAAACCAGGTCGGTTTTTAAAAAAAAGTTTCCGAAACTTCACGGGAGTTGAACTCCCGTGAAGTTTAGCAGCTTTTAATTAAGCTGCTAAACTTCACGAGAGTTCAACTCCCGTGAAGTTTCACAGTTCAAAAAAATTTTTTTGAACTGTGAAACTTCACGGGAGTTGAACTCTCGTGAAGTTTAGCAGCTTAATTAAAAGCTGCTAAACTTCACGGGAGTTCAACTCCCGTGAAGTTTCGGAAACTTTTTTTCAAAAACCGACCTGGTTTCAGCGCTGAAGCTGAAACCAGGTCGGTTTTTACAAATATTTGGAAAATGGGTTGTTTTTTACAAATAAAAAATCAAAAAGGTTCGTTTTGAAAATTTGTCCGTCTATTGTATGCAGCTTTACGTTGCATTTCTACAAGAGGTTGTTTCCACAACTCAGAAACTGTGATCTCCAGGTTACATGGCAACTACATTTTGTAATATTCTGTAAACCAATTGCTCCCAAACTATAAGGGTTTTTGGGGAAATAGAACTGATAGAATTTAAACTTTTAAGAGTAAATTCCTGAGCTAGCATTCTTCTATGATTCCTCTATAATGCATTAAAAATTGTGAATTACAGATATAAGATGCTCAAACAGTAGAGTCTAAGTGAAACAATCAGTAGATTCACTATAGAAGGAAGAAAAGATATTAGGGGCAAATATCTCAGATGGTCTACTAAGCTAAATATGCTGACATAGGCAGCAAGTAACATGGAAGAAGATACGTACACACAAAGACAAAATAAAGTTCACAGATTAGGAATAGGAAAAAGACAATGGAACTTGAAAACAGCTGCTTACATCAATAGGAGGGCTCAAAAATTCAATGCCATTGCTTATCTGACCATAAGGTTCCATTAAATCAATCACAGACTGCAAATCCTCTTTTGTCAGTACCAGGCCAAGATGATTGACAAGAAATCTGTTAATGTTCTGTACAGGTTTTGTTCTTCGCAACCACGTAGGAATGCAATAGCTCAGAGTCTGTTCGAGTAACCATCATCAGAACAAGAAACTAGAGAAAGTGACTTCATGAGTTATATTTAATTAGCATTTGATAGCATGGTAAAAAAAAAAATACTACAACGAATCAACAAAGCTAAATTAGATCAAAATGTAATAAATAAGGTTACAAATAGCTAGTTTTTTTATCAGTATTTAGTTAATAATTTGAACTTGGTAAAGAAAATCAAAGGTGAGAAAAATCAACAAAGATGATAGTAGCCACCAATATTCTACGAAAAGCATACAAAGATTAGTGCCAACTATAAAGTGGTAGCATACAATTCTTCGATGGATCAATTCCACAACATAGGCGGTAAGAAATGTCTATTACGAGAACGTAAGTGAAGAAAGCAATATATTTGTACAAATTCCGTTTAGAGATAACAAGTACCAATAACAAAAAGAACAAAGCCCACATCAACACCAAAGATGATAAGAGTTATTTCTTCTATTCAACTTTGAGATGGATCATCTCTTACAATAACAACTACCTGATCCTTTCTAACCACCTCCATCTAGACTGTGTTGCTCCACTAGCTATATTTCAAAGAAGAACATTAACAAGCATGGTTTGCATATTTTCCAACTTCTAGATCACCATAGCAGGTCTGAATTCCAAGTAGAAAAAAACAGCACAAGCAATTGCAACGCTAGACTTATAAAACTAATGCAAGCACTGGCATATAAAAAATAGCAAAATTCAATATCAAGGATGATTACAAAATTAGTCAAATGAACCGATTTAAGAAAATGCTCATACCACAAACCAGCTGCAATAGCACATCAGCTCATCAGTGTCAAGGAATTTGCTCCGGAAAGCACTACCTTCCAATGCTAGAGGAACAAGCTTCAATTCTATAGGCCGCAGCAAAGTTGTCTTCTCAGCAACCTAAAAAGAAGGTTAACTACTCATAGCAAACAGTACAAGTTAAAATTTAGACATAGCATAAAACATAAGCTCATTAATATAGCCCATTTGACAGAACAATGGGTAGGATATAGGAGACTTCGATCTCTAGGAGGAGTAAGGAAGACATACAAGTCAGATCAGGGTTTAGCTTAGACTCTCGAGATCTACATATATACTGCACAATCCTCCATGTGCGCTTGCCAATATGACCAAAAAGTTAATGGCCTCATAATCCTCTTACTATGTATTTTTGTAAGGCTACAAACTTCTATTTGATCATTTCTTACATAATTCTACCCTATGTAATTACTTCATAATCAGTGTTGCCCTTAAGACAACAGCAACCTTTTGAACCATAATCTCGTCTAGATCGGAATAGAAACATGATTTTAAAAAAATATGGAGATGTATTGCACATGGATAACAGGTGCTAAAGTTAATAATTTGCAAAGATCACGAGTCACTTCGGGGAAAATGACAAGCGTACCCTTGCAACAACGAGGGGAAGTTACATGCTTACTGTTCAGAGAGTGAGGAAGAGGAGAGCTCTAATTCCACCCAACTCCTAATCCAAATGAAGCCCATGAGAATTTAAAGTAAATAAAAAATCTCAGTCCTTCATCAACTAGCCTTCATCATGTAAGGCAATTTACTAATTATTTGGGCAATTTACTAATTATTTGGGCAATTTATCATTAGTTTCACATCAACAGGCAGCAGCAGTGAAGCCTAGGCAGGGATTTGGGACCTGAAGTTAATTGCAGAGATGGGTGTGCACCTGCAAATGACTAGGATCATCCTGAAAAAGGCAAAAAAAAGGTCCAAGGTCCAAGGTCCCTAACATGTTCTGGGTACAAGATGCAAGTTGAGCGCCAGACACAAATTTTGTAAAGATATTAAAAATAATGAAACTAGAGCACAAATTACAATATCCTATTTCAAACATGAATCTTAATCCACTAAAAGTTATTACTAAGGAACTAACACCCACATGTTTTTTGCGGAAAAAAACAATCCAACAGCCAGCATTATGGAGTAAAAGCAGAAACAGAAGGAGCATTGTGGTAATAGCAACGCAAACAGTAACTGAAAATGAGAAAGACGACAGAGAAGAAGCAGCAACAAAAACAGATTCCACGACAGCAGAAGAGAAAGAAATAGAGAGAACGAGGAGGAAGAAAAAGATGAACATGACGAGGACAAGTCAAGGCGGAGAGAAAAAGAAAAGAGGAAGAAACAAAAGAACAAGAGGAAAATAGCAGAACCCTCTAGGCTAGCAGCAAAATAATTTTTAAAAAAGGAAGGAAAAAATTCACAGGGTTTTGAGTTTGGGTTTGGAATAGGTATAAGGGAAGGGATAGGTTGCGGGCATGTTTGAGGATGGATTTGGATATTATGTTAGGAACCCAGATTATTCCAGGAAAATTTATGTTTTTATTGGCAGTGTAATGTTATCACTGCAATAGAAATGGGGACATTATAATGGATTTACAGACCAGAATATAATTGGATTACTGGCCATAATTAGGGGGTATCTAAAACTTTCAAAAAATAAAAACATACATTTAGGCATGCAAACACGGCCAGACACACAGACGGAAAGACGGCCTTGGCTGATTCTGCAAGGATTCAGAAGCAAGCTCACACTGAATTCAGCCAATGGCCATTCAAACAGAAAACACACTTCACCGAAGTTGATTAGCGTTGTTTAAAAGATACCTAAAAATTCAAATGACTTCAACTCTATTTGACCGTGCATCAAGTAGGCACAAAATGGCCGGTTGAAAGTAGCAAGCTGAACAAGTATGTGGTCAACGGATGCTTAGAGAACAACAGAGGTTAGGGTCCCACGGTTTTAAACTGTTTAGACCGAAATAAAATTGGATTTTAGATCTGCATGCTCCTAATTACATGCAAAAGAGAGCAAGGCTCCCTGGACATAAATTTCTGGTGTGGATATTGCAGGAAAACAGAAAAATTAAATATTGAAGAAAACATAAAGAAAGAAAGAAAGAAAGAGGAAAAAGAACCATTGATCAGAAATTGGTTGATTGTGCTGAAAAAAGCAATGGTGAAGGTTGAGATTGTTAGGAATCTTGACCCCAAGATTAGTTTGTTTTGATGATAACAAATATTATATATTGTGTGTATTATGTGCTAACATTTGTTTTGCAGTATCAGAGCTATATCAACAATTATATTCAAAGAGATACTAAAGACTAAAGACATAGATGAGTTCAAGGCAAAATGAAACAAAGAAGAAGATATACTTTATTGTCAAAATGTAATTTTATATTTTCATTATTTAGAAATTTGTACAAGCCTTATCACTCACACACATACACACACATAGTGTTAGAACACACTAACACATGTTTAATGTGTTGGTTAACAATAGAAATCCCTATGTTAGCCATTAGAGTTTATAGATATTGAGTGAGCCTTAAAACATTTTATTTATACCCCTTAAGAATTAGAATCTGAAAAAACTCAAAAGACCAAATTTGTAGGTCTCTTCATCAGCTTTTTAACAAATCTTAAAGCACCTCATTCCGATGTCTGATGAGAAAGTTACAGTCAAAATACTAAAAACAGAATTCCAGAATCTGTGAGTTTACGGTGTAGTTGACTACTATGCCTTGTAGTCGACTACTAAGCAATTTTCCGACTTCACAGAGTCTGTTTGACTCAGTGTAGTCGATTACTATGACTTGTAGTCGACTACAGATGTAGTTTTTTCAGATTTCAGATTTGGAATAAATGACTGTTTATAGCCGTGTGTTTAAAATTATGTCATTTCAGAGGTTATAAATATGTTTAAACATCAGAAAACAAGCACCAAGTTTTGCACTTGTAAGATTCACATATTGTGCAAATTAACTTCTAAACTTTTAGTTTTTTAATCTGTTTTTCCATAAAAGAGAGTTTCTGATATTGCCTTTGTTCCTATCATTCTTAGAGCTTGTTTAGGCAATATTTAGAGAGTTAAAAAGATTGATAAGCCACTGTTACAACTTACACGTTCACATCCACATCAAGGCTTATAGGATTGGAATTGTACATTGATTCAAGAAAGGTTCTCTTAGGTTCGAGAGGGTTGATCTCTTGGTCTAGAGATCGGTGTGACGATTGGCATGGTCTTGTCAATTGGGTTGCAATTTGCATGGTCTTACAAATTGATCAGGTTTGCTTTTGATTTTATAAGGTTTCAAAATCATAGTGAAAACTCTCAAGTGGGATTTGCTTGGGGACTAGATGGACACCGGGAAGGTAAAACCAGTATACATGCTTGTGTTTATGATGTTCACTTTCTGAGATTGCCATTCTTTCTTCGTAATTTATAATCTACTTTGCAAACTCACCCTCTAGTGTTTAAGTATAAAGCTTCTGCAGATTTTTATAAGAGCACGTTCTATTCTTAAGGATCACGATCCTACACTTGGTATACATAAGCAAAAACAGGACCCGACATTTGATATCAGAGCAAGGCTGAAGAAATAGCATCAACTTTCGACTCAAACTCAAAATTTAAGGAAGGACATTCTACAAATCGTCTACCAATATTTGATGGACTAAATTATAATTATTGGAAGTATCGGATGAAAATCTATCTCTAATCAATTGGTTACGAACTTTGGAACGTTGTGGAAACAAAATACGAGAAGCTAACTACTCCTTTCATGGAATGGACTACATCTCAAAGGAACAACGCAAATTTGGATTCTGGAACAACGCAAATTTAGTTTCTAAAGCAATGAACGCCTTGTTCTGTGCTCTTGATAAGAATGAGTTCAACAGGGTGTCAACGACCACATCTGCATATGACGTTTGACACACACTCAAGGTAACTCATGAATGCACAAGTAAGGTTAAAGAATCTAAAATTTATGTTCTTGAACACGGATTCAAATTGTTTAGAATGAAGGAAAACGAGTCCATTAGAGAGATGTTTACAAGGTTTACCGATATCACCAATTCTCTCATCGGTCTTGAAAAAATATACACTCAAGTGGAGATGGTGCGAAAGATACTTCGTTCACTTACTCCATAATGGGAAAAGAAAGTTACCGCAATAGAGGAAACAAATGACTTGTCAACTCTTATGGTAGAAAATCTAATTGGTAACCTCATGGCTTATGAAGTTCAAATTGAAGATAGAAAGAATAAGGATAAAACAAAGAACAAGAAAGTGCTTGCTTTCAATACTACTTCTGATAAAGAAGATTTGGATGATGATGAAGAAATGAGCATATTTACACGTAAGTTTCGAAAGTTCATAAAACAAGGTAAGTTCAAATCAAAAAATTCAAATTCAAATAACTTGCTTTGTTTCAAATGTAACAAACCAGGACATATGAAGAAATATTATCCATTGTTGAAAAATAAGTAAAAATCAAATTATTTCAACAACTTCAACAATATTCAAAGCAACAAGAAAAGGAAAGCTTTGGCAGCTACATGGGATAATAGTAATGATTCGTCTTTGGATAAAGAAATCGAAGAAAAAAAAGCGCCCATATATGTTTTATGGCACAAGATGAAGTGACAATGAAGAGTTTTTAGATGCTTTCAATGAATTATATGAAACATTTTTGAGATTAAAGGCTTCACATAATTTTCTTAAAAGTGAAAATAAAAGATTACTTAAAGAAATTTCTGATTTTTATTCTTCTACTATTTCTAATTCTCAAGTAATTGAATTGAAAGAGAAAAATAAATCCTTGCTTAAAAAAAATCATATTTTGACTAATGAGAATGTTTATCTAAAATCAGAATGCAATGATTTAAAAAATTCGCATTAATGTTTTAGATAAAGATATTTTTTCTATTAAATTAAAATAAGATGATATATGTTTGAATGTTAGTAAATTCAATAAAGAGAAAGAATTTGAATAATTTGCTCTCATTTCAAAAATCTTCAAACAATCATTTTGGTATTAGATTTGTTCCTAAGTATTTTACAAAAAATGATTATGTTTTGAAGAATAATAATAAGAATATTCATGCTAAACAAAATAAGTATATATGGATTCCTAAGAATTTGAATATTCATGATAGGAATGATTATATTTCATCTTATATGTATGAAGTTTGCAATTCAAAGAATTACACTTATTTTAATAAATGGAAACCAAATTCCAAGTGGATTTGGATTCCTAAAGGCTAATCCTAATGATATAAATATAAAAGGGTACCAAAATGCTTAATATTTTTATTAAGGTACCCGGGAAAAGAAAATTTTAACTAGAATTATGTTTATTTTTTTGCTAATGACAAAAAGGGAGTTATATAGAAAATTTTAAATTTTTTACTAATGCTTTGATGCATGGGGAGTAAAGGATTTTATTTAATGATTTTATGCAGGGGGATTAAAATTTTTATATCTTAGTAACATATATTTGTCAATCATAAAAAAAGGAGAATGTTAGGAATCTTGACCCTAAGATTAGTTTGTTTTGATGATAACAAATATTATATGTTGTGTGTATTATGTGCTAACATTTGTTTTAAAGTATCAGAGCTATATCAACAATTATATTCAAAGAGATACTCAAAACATAGATGAGTTTAAGGCAAAATAAAGCAAAGAAGAAGATATACTTTATTGTTAAAATGTAACTTTATATTTTTTTTGCTTAGAAATTTATACAAACCTTGATCACTCACACACATGCACACATATAGTGTTAGAACACACTAACACATGCTTAGTGTGTTGGTTAACAATAGAAATCCCCTATGTTAGCTATTAGAGTTTATAGATATTGAGTGAGTCTTAAAATATTTCATTTATACCCCTTAACAATTAGAATCTGAAAAAACTCAAAAGGCCAAAGTTATAGGTCTCTTCAATAGCTTTTCAACAAATCTTAAAGCACCTCATTCCGATGTCGGATGAGAAAGTTACAGCCAAAATACTAAAAACAAAATTCCAGAATCTGTGAGTTTACAATGTAGTCGACTACTATGCCCTATAGTCGACTACTAAGTAATTTTCTGACTTCATAGAGTCTGTTTAGACTCAGTGTAGTCGACTACAATGACTTGTAGTAGACTACAGATACAGTTTTTTCAGATTTCAGGTTTTAAATAATTGACTGTTTATAGCCGTTTTGTGGACGTTAATTGGGTTTAAAATTATGTTATTTCAGAGGCTATAAATAGGTTTAAACATCAGAAAACAAGCACCAAGTTTTGCACTTGTAAGATTCACATATTGTACAAATTAACTCACTAAACTTTTAGTTTTTCGATATGTTTTCCCATAAAAGAGAGTTTCGGATATTGCCTTTGTTCCTATCATTCTTAGAGCTTGTTTAGGCAATATTCAGAAAGTTAAAAGATTGATAAGCCACTGTTACACGTTCACATCCACATCAAGGCTTATAGGATTAGAATTGTACATTGATTCAAGGAAGGTTCTCTCAGGTTAGAGAGGGTTGATCTCTTGGTCTAGAGATCGGTGTGACGACTGGCATGATCTTGTCAATTGGGTTGCAATTTGAATGGTCTTGCAAATTGATCAGGTTTGCTTTTGATTTTGTAAGGTTTCAAAATCATAGTGGAAACTCTCAAGCGGGATTTGCTTAGGGACTAGATGTACACCGGAGAGGTGGAACCAGTATACATGTTTGTGTTTGTGATGTTCACTTTCTGAGATTGTCATTCTTTCTTTGCAATTTATAATCTACTTTGCAAACTCACCCTCTAGTGTTTAAGTATAAAGCTTCCGCAGATTTTTATAAGAGCACGCTCTATTCTTAAGGGTCACGATCCTACACTTGGTATACATAAGCAAAAACAGGACCCTACAGAGATTGAAGGTGTCATGCTGTCAGATTTTGAAACCAGGACCGGTCTTCCAAAAGGATGTATTATGATAAAAAAGACTAGAAGAGACAAAAGGCTTTCCCGTCCCATTGAAGTTGTAACTAGTCAGCTTTTGAAATGTTCACCAGGTTAATGCACACCTCATTCGTTAGATGAGCTAATATGCAAAGCATAGTAAGCATGTTTCAGTCACATGACATATATTAAAGCCTATGCGTTTGTAGGGCCACCTCTATGTAAACACGAATTCTTTTTTCCCCCATTCAAACACCTTAAGAGGAATGCCTCATTTTACCTTCTTCTGTAATAATATATTTATATTACATCACAAATGAAAGTCTAAACAAATAGCAGGATAACAATCGCTTTAACTGATTTCTGGGGATTACCAAGAAATCATTATTAAAAGAATATGGAAGACTATACCTGTTTCCAGTCTACAAAATCAATAAGTTCACTGTCCATAGTCTCCTTTGCCGCTATGCGTAATATTTTTTCCCTTTCCAATTGAGTTGGTCGTTGAAGATGCAGTACTCTATCCATACGACCGGGTCTTTGCAAAGCCTCATCAATTTGCTTCAGATTTCTAGTGGTAGCCATTAAAACAACCCCATCTTGGTTTTCAAACCTGAAAAAGAACAGGTCCACACAAGAGGTGTTGGCCAAACTTCCTTGAGAAATTTTAAATGTTCAAGTGTTCCGTTACATTATGGCTTTGGCTTAGATACTGACTTTCCGAATTCTTGAATATTATGGACCTTACTCTAGGAAACCACTCGACATAGATAAGATAATATAAACCTCGATGAGAACAGAAGGAAAGCATTGGCTACAGAATCCTGCAAATGCACCATAACCGCACTCCGTCAATGTGAAATAATAAAAGGAGTTGCGTAAGGTGTTGAGAATCTCTAACATTAAGTCCCTCGTGTGTACCACATAACAGAATTGTTAAATTGGTAAAGAAAGGCTTGGAGTTTGGCTCGATAAAGA